CCGTCCGTAAATGTAAATCGGCTTGTCTTGTGCTCCTAACCACGTAGCAGCATCACTAGCATACCCTAAAAAACCAGAACCATCCAGACCCAGCCAAGACGATTTTGTACCGTCAAAACTATTTGAAATAAAGACAGACGAGCCTCCTGCTACAGAGGCGGTCGTTTGAACTCTGCTTCCTGTAATGACTTTCCCTGAGATATTGCCGCCAAATGTAACATTATTTGAAGTTAGATTAGTTATCTGGCTTCCGACCCAAGGTTTGATAACATCATTGTCATAATCTCTTAACATCGAGAGATTGATTGCTTGCTGAGGGTATTCGTATTTGATGCCTCGATAACATGAAGGCGTATCAAACAAGAGACGAGTACAACCTCCTATTGGATCAGAAGCAATTGCGACATTGCTCCCGGGTTCAAGTGGTGGCATGAAGGTAACAGGGTCTATTGGTTCGTAAACGGGGTTTCCATCGCCATCGAGTATAGGTTGTCCTTCCGCATCTCGTTGAACCTTACGTTTGCGTGACCCTCCGAAAATCATTCCCCAAGGGAACGTTGAGACGATTGGGAGGATGGAGTTTACAGCCATAGGGACTGTCAGTGGTGGAGATACGATCGCAGGAAATGGAATGGTAGTCAGCGGTGTAGCCCCAGACAATACGACCACATTCCCACCAGGAACATCAGTTTTCAACACTTCGCCCGTGTCACTTTGCTCCGTATTGTCTGTATCCCTTTGCTTCGATAACGGCGTGGGGTCAATCAAGGTGAAGTTAAACAATGGGTATGAGCCAGTAATTATCAAATTTGGCGAATTAGATACCAACTGAGGAGGAATCATATTATACTGAATCGTATTCCCTACAACTACGACACTTCCATACGAATTTGTCGAGCCAATGTAGTTGCCTTTCAGCGTATCACCCACTCGAAGAACGGTATCACTTCCTGTAAGTGAACATGAAATCAAGTCGCCGCTGACTTGTACACCATTTATACCTCGGAGATTAGTAGATAGAATGGCACCGTTCTTCTGGAGGCCTATCCCGGCTGCTATATTAGAACTTAGAACACCATTATTGAGGGTTAAATCTGGAGACTGGGCTGTTAACGAGAGTCTAAAATCGTTGCCCACCCGTGTTACTCCTTGGGAGGCTGTGAAGGTATCCCGTATGGTACCCCTGTTGACCATAGCCAAACCGCTGTTAGCATCAACTTTTAGATCGAGTTGAAGGTCATTCTGTACTCTCTCGAGACCATTGCTGCAAGTCAGTACGTCTTTAATGGTATCTGCTTTGACCATTTGAAGAAAACTGCCAGCCTCACACTTAAGGGAAAGTTGAATATCGTTTGTAGTCCCTGGGCGAACGGTCACTCCATTAAAATCTTGAAAAATGTAGCCACCGGTTAAACGGTTCCCAAGAATCCGTACTGTTTGGTTGTCAACGAGAACGCCTATCTCCCTACGTCCTACCGATTCGGGTCCAACGGCGACCGCGCCTGTTAATGATCCTTGATAAAAGTTTGAAAGATAGTCTTTTGTGACTGCATAACTTCCTCCACCTATTCCAGGCAGCGTTCCCATTATTTTCACATTAGGAACACGCAGTTCTTGCAATGTTGTCGAAAAGGTAAGATTTGAGGAGGCAGAGTATCCATACTGAAGATTTCCAAATAACACCTGCTCATAACCTGGGGATTTCAGCGACAATCTAGAACCCACTTGAGAAAAAGTGGAACTGTCTACCATCAATCTAATCGCTGTCGTGTCAACCTCTCCCAAAAAATCAGTCATATCGGTCAAACTATTGAATCCAAAGTCTAGCCATGATGATCCGATGTCTAACAGCGTATCAGCACCGCTGGATGTCTTTATTGCGCCGAATGCTTTGAACAGTTGACTAGTATTGGTTTCTAATTCGTCTTCATTGTTCACCTTTAGACTTTTGTGGAGTTTGATTCCAAGGCCGCTCTGGTCACGAAACAATGGTTTCTTGAGCGTTTCTGGAGGAGGGAAGTTTACAGATAGACCATTCTCATTAATGGATAATGTCTCATCTGCCTGTAAACCAACCGTCCGTGATTCGGCATCCCTGTAGAGTGGAAATTCATAACTGTCCGGAATGACTTTTAGTTTTTCTTCCTCTACAGTTAAACATGAATCATCAATCTGAAGTTGAATACCATGATCCTCTTTTGAGTAGACAAGAGGTGGACGCGCGTTTACGTCGACTGTGGTCAACTGATTACTCTCGTCAATCTCAAGTCTCTTGTTGTCGTAAAGTAATTCGATACTTACAACGCCGTTTTCGTTACTGGAAGATAAGCATCCAGAGGTGGTTTCAACAGAGTTGACTTCTAACTCGCCATTTTCGTTTGATAAATGTTTAAATTCTCCAACAGCGAACCCCTTTATCTTTGCAGCATCATCGAATCCAGTCATCTCCCCCGTAACATACGGTGAGAGGAGATTTGTATTATCTAAATTACGTAACCCGGAAGCGTTCCTACTGTTAATACCAGACATATTTACATTCTAGTTAGCAAGATAAATTCCTAAAATTTGAGGAGCTTGGCAAAGACTAAGCGCTCGACGGAGGTGCCGAGCCACCGCGTGGCGTCTCACATCTCTGTGTTACATCATATTACATCATTCGTTGTTTCTTCTTAGGAGGAAGGATTATTTCTTCACCTTTTCTTCTTCTCGTCCTAACGGTCGGTTCTGTCACTTGAACTTGTTGTACCGGTTGAGCAGGGACAACAAACTCGGCATCTCTCCACCCACCACGAAGTTTCGCGAGCGGACGAATCTCACTACCAAGGTCTGCTGTCAAGGGAACCAGTGTAGGTGGGTTAAGTGCCGTCGGTGCTGCTGGAGCAACATCCACTTTTCTCCTTCGATTAGCACGCACATTCCTTTCAACTTCTGCAGGGGACATTAATGTGATTTCCTCAACATGGTCTTCTTGTTCAGGTATGGAATCATCAATCTTCCGTCTCTTAACTGTTTGCTTCTCTTCAGGTTGCTTGTACTGTCTTCGCTTGGTGCCATGAGGAGCACTTCCGGCGAAAATCACATCTGGGGGACGTGGAGGAGCAACAGGTGGTGGGGTTGCTGGTGGAGTTACTGGCTCTACAACATCATGCTCCGCTCCTCCTGTTTTTTGCTTCTTTTTATTCAATCGAGGAATCGGCGGGGGTGCATTTGCTTTCCTTTTAGAACCTGCTAATATGGTTGCTTCCTTACCTTTGAAGTGAAATGGTGTTCTCGCAGGTACCGAGACAAACTGATCATTGATGGAGTTTCTCTCTAAAACATCCGCTACACCAGATGGATCATGGCGGTCATTCAGAAGTACTGTATCATGTGGAATTGGTACGCTACGAGGCATTGTTTCGACGGAGGCATCAATTTGAGGAGATTCCACATGTATCTGTTGAGTCGACCCAGGAAATCCTCCTGGAATAGGTGGAATGTAACTATCAGCCATTAGATGCGCTGGCAGTGAAACTGCAATGCCAGTCGCATGATTGACACGGTCATTTCCAACTGCATCTCTTCGTATCTCTGTTTCTCGAGTCAGGATGACTGGCTCTACAGGAACACTGTTTACATTACGTGGTTGAGCTGGTATCTCATTTCCATTAGGTGGTGCTTGAAACATTAAACCTGTTTGGGAAGTCACTGATGCTGGATAGGAATACACATGTCCAGTTTCATCAGGAATCGGTAATCCTGAAAGGGAATTTTGCGTTCCAATGGTCAATGCATTCCCTTGTCGACTTGGAGTAATCGAATCAAGATACTTCTGTTTCTTATGATAATCTTCTTCTGCTTTCACGTACTCAAGACCATCCTTATAAGCCTTCGTGGTGTATTGCGCTGCTGACAATTTCAAAACATCAGAAGATGATAATCTTGGTTCATATTTAGGTTCAACGTAATTGGTCTTTGTCGCTAAGTCTTTTTGATGGATCAACCTGTTCCACGAATACACTACTTGTGGTCGCCCGAGGTCATCGACCTTTGAATAATCTAGAGCGACCCCAACTTGTCTCTTTTGCAAATTAGGAATCGGTGGCGAAATAGCATATGTATCACTCAAGTAATTGGCTCGGTAATATGCCATACTAGGTTTTTTCCTTTGCTATGTAGAGCTGAAAAAATAATATCTCTTCTGTTCTATAAATCAAGATGCCTAATTGGTTTTCTAAAGCGAAAGCAAAGGCGAATGTGCTGTGGAATAACGCGCCGTCATATGTTGCAAAAGCAAGGAACTTTGCTAATCAAGCAGTCCGGCATGCCACTACATTGAATAAACATGTGCAGCACGTAAATCGCCAAGTACAAGAGTCACCGCTTTTCTCAGCAGGAGTCCGAGAGAAAAGTCAAAAGATTTCTAGTCATGGTGAGACCGGTTTGAAGAAGTTAAGCGAACTCCACAAGAATGCAGATGACTTTGTCGAGAAGGTGACAGGTGGTAGAATCGAGTGATCTAATCCAGTGAACTACTGCTATCTGGGTGGCGAGGGTAATTGACCCCGATCTCGGGTTCTATGTATAACATGTTACTGAACTTCGGGGTCATTTACCCTCAACCTACATGCAACCCCATAATCAAACAGGTAGTGTGTGGCTGTCTAAGGGAAGCTTGAAGAGAGAAGAGCGCACACGGCGGACAATGTTCACTGCGCGCTTGGCGCCCCAGGCGGATATCAATTTTAACCCTTCAAACCACAGTCACAACAGCACCAATGGAAAGTGTGACATTCTCGTGGTAGGTTGAGACCATGCGCACCTTTTGCGTAGGTGCCGTTGCATGAGTTGTATGCACACGAAGAATGCCATCAGTACCTGTAAAACTCAAAGCATTCGCCGAGCCTTCATCCTTCGAAGCAAAACTCCACCCAAAGGAAAAGGCTTTTGAATCATAGTCGGCGAACGACAGATCTATCTCCCCCAGTTGGTCAAAGGTGTTATTTGATAACTGTGTGACCAGTAACGTTTGATTGTCACTTGGGCTGTGAGTAAACCCTTGCGTTCCACTTGGAATGGTAAGATTTGCCCCCAGTTGAATTCGCCACTCGCGAAGCCCTTGTGAAGAATACATTAGCGCCTTATCTTTCGTCTGGTCATTGAGAACATCATCGTCCACAAATGACATTTCGATCCCTTGAAGTGACCTTACACCACTCATATGAAGCAAAAATGTATTCCGGTTTCCGCCACTACATGCGTTTTCCGTTTGGGTTGAGCGCACATAGTCATAGAATATTGACTTACCATCTGATATAGCGCGAGTCGCGTTCACAACGGTTGTCGGTGGCGGTGTGATGAAAGGCAAGAGACATCTAATGGAACTGACTCTGATTTCGCCAATACCAGCACTTGTAAAGACGGTGGAAGGATCCGCTAAAGTGATGATGATCTCTAAGGCCTGATTAGGAAGCGCCCAAACAGGGAAGAACTGGTCATTTGTCGGATGAAAGAAACCCACAAAAGGGTGATGGTTGATGGAGATAGTACTCGATGTTGCAAAGATATTGGTGTTTCCATATCCGGAAAGTTGGCTCAACAATTTCTTACTACCGGCGGATAGATTGCGGTACGTTTGTACTAGATAAAGAGGATAGTTTGGAATGTTGACAACTGTTTCACCCCCTGCTTTGATGGTCAATGATTGAATAATGGATTCCAAGCCAAGATACGTGTTTTTAACACCTGTACCAGGAGTTATCAAGTTTCCTGCATTATCGTATGCAGAAACATCCATGGAGAGAATTAGTTTTTGCAGAACGAAACTCACCGAATTAGAGTCACAAGTTATCTTAATTGGGGTCAGGTTACGACTTTTTGTCGTATACGTGCTTTGACCTATTGGAGAATAGATTGACATCCCCTCCCCGCGGGGGTCTGAGTACGAACGACTAAACGTGTTACTGGAAAATAACCAATTACGAGGTACAGCAACTTCTTCCGACATCTTTGTTTACTGATTGCAGGAAAAAAAAAAATGGAAGATTTTCAGCCAAAAATACCACCATAGTTGTCCTCCTCAACATTGTCCTCCTCAAAGAACGGTGATCTAGAGTCAAAGAATGGTTCATCATCACCAAATTTCAAAATTACGCTCTTTTTTTTAGATGGACGTATTGCTGCTGGCTGCGCCTTTGCTGCTGGTTTGGATCTCTTGCTCCTAGTTGGTGTTGCCTTCTTTCCTCGCTTTGTGTTTCGTCGTTCTTCCCTCGCCAACCGCTTCTGTTCCTTCTCCTCTTCAAGGATGCGTTTGGCCTCATCGATCCTCCTTTGTTTATCCTGCTCCTTCCGTTCCTTCTCGCGTTTTGCTTGCATTAGGCGCAATTGTTCAGCCCTCGCTTTCTGCGCCTTCTCCAATGCAGCCCGTTGCTTGTCCGTCATCGGGCGTTTCACCTTTTGCTTTGGAGGCTGTTCTGGTATAATTTCTGCTTTTTGAACAGGTGCTTGTTCAGCGGGTGGTTCTACATTATCTTGTGGAACGGCACTCGATTCTTGATGATTTTGATTTTGCTCTTCCATTGTTTTCTTACTCTAAGAAAAAAAAAAAAAAAAAATAAAAAAAAAATTAGACATCCGCAACATCATCTGTAAATGCAAACCGAACGGTTAACGGACTGTTGAGTGCAACTTCCAAACCGGTCATTGAGTCAATAAGATAGAATTCGATTTTGGAGATAGTGTCATCAACAGGGAGCCATTCACCTCCATCGTTAGTCCATGTGACTACATCGCCAAAGGAATCAGGGACAACCGCAGCAATTACGGATTGGGCGGAATCATTGAAGTCACTGAGGAAACGGCTTCCTTGGACTTGGATGTTACTCGTGACAAGCATTGGATACGACCCGGACAAATTGACAGCATTCTTCAGTGTGATAGTCTTGTAATATCCCGTTTCACTCCATCTTGACATTCCTGTTAGAAGATATGATGTCGTTCCTCTCGACGCAGCAAGAACCTTGAAGTTCTTGCTACCAGATGTGGAAAGTGTCAATCTCCTCGTAACAGAGTCGTATGTGGCATTGTAGGCTTGCGTCCCGGCTGAACTCAATGCTTGAGCAACGGCATTCGGAAAATTAGCGATGCTGTAATTACCATTAGGTATTTTCGCAGATAAGATGGTTGGATCGCCTTCTTCAACAAAATTAATCGTGTTATTAGAATCGTTGACCAGATCCCAATCTTGAAGGAAAGAAACCGAGAGAACCTTCATCATTTCCATCCTCCGAGGAGGTATTGAGAATGATCGAGATTTTAAGGAGCAGTATGTCACTTCGTTAATCATGATATTTCCTTACCTTTATGTAAAGACAAAGGAAAATTTAAATGTCCTATAAACCACGCCCAATCTTTCCCGTAGGGAAAAAGAAGAGAGATCCTCGTGTTCCACGTGACCTGGCATCACTGCCTCTATGTACAACTCTTGTCGCTCCGAGGAAAAGTGGTAAAAGTGCATTAGTCTGCGGTCTGATTGAGGATGTCTATGCTAAATTACACGATCGAGTCATTATCATGTCCGACACAGTTGAATACGATGCTTCTGTGAAGGTACTGTCCGAAACCACAAAACATAAAAATATCTACTTTACAGACGAGGTTTCCAATGCATCCATCGCTAAAATTGTAGAAGAACAGAAGAAAACGCCTGAGAAGTCACTTCTATTATTCATTGACGACGCTGGTGATTCTGCGCAAAGTAAAGAACTCAACAAGGAGTTATCGAAACTCTATACAAAAGGGAGGCATTTCAATATAGGAAATATTGTAGCCATCCAGAGTGTAACCGGACAACTTTCACGTAAAATGAAGAACTGCACCACCGAGTGGGTGGTGTTTAAAAACAATGCAGAAGACATGAAACTTTTAGCAAAGTTACTTGCTTCCGCCTACAAAGATGATAAAGAAGTTCTAACATTTCTCACCGAGTGCACCAAAGAACCTTATTCGTTTGCCTACATCAATAGAGATGCTAGTGATGCTAAAGGAATGTATCGTTACTGTGACTCCAGCGGGTTTCATGATTACTTTTAGTTGCTGGCATTGGCACTCCGTACCGGGTGCTCGAAGAGCACCGTTAACGCACGTGGAGCGTGCTTTACCGGCATGTTTTTAAAGCTGATCTTATCGATAAGAGAGATGGATGAAAGAAAGCCTAACTGGAAAGATATAACACCAGAGGATGAGCGGCGCTTGAAGCAGCTCTACTACAGAGAACATGCTTACATGGGCAGAGATCGTTTGTACGCGCTTTACAAAGCAAAGTATCCAGAGAGCAATATGTCTCAACGGACACTGTTATCATGGCTAAAAGACCAACCAATTTGGCAATGTTGGTCTCGACCATTGACCAACAAGGGAGGGATTCGTCCCATATTGGCAAGTAGTCCAGGGCAACTTCAACTTGACATTTTTTCCATGATAAGTGTACCGTATTTAGGATATAAGTATGTCATAGTTGCAGTCGATATTTTAACTAAATGTGAA